GTAAAAGAGGCACAAAAATAATACTGAAGAAAATAACTCCTTAAAAATTAGAATTGGCCAAGCGGAAGCTGATGACCCCATAAGACACCAAGAAACAATAAAACAAAGTCAAAATAATGAAAAAAAGAGAAGAAATGTGAAATGTTTCATAAGAAAAACAACTGACCTGGAGAAGAAAGAATTTAAGAATCATTGGATTACCTAAAAGTCATGAATAAAGAAAAAGCCTAGATATCATATTTCAAGAAATATGCCTAGATATTTTAGAACCAGAGGGCAAAGTAGAAACTGAAAGAACCTACCAATCACCTCCTGAAAAAAATTACAAAATTAAAATTCCCAGGAATATTATAGTCAAATTCCAGAGCTCCCAGGACAAGGAGAAAATACTGAAAGCAGCCAGGAAGAAATAGTTCAACTACTGTGGAGTCACAGGCAGGATTGAACAAGATATAGCAGCTGTCACTATGAAGGAAAAGAAGGTTTAGAACAGGGTAGGTAACCTGTGTCTTCTAGGTCCTTAAGTATGGCCTTTTCACTGAGTCCAAGTTTTACCAAACAAATCCTTTTATTTAGGGGATTTATTTCTGAAGTTTGGATTCAGTCAAAGGGCCACACTTCAGGACCTAGAGGGCCACTTGTGGCCTTGAGGCCACAGTTTCCCCACCCCTGGTTTAGCATATAACATTGCAGAAGGAAAAGGAGTTAGGATTACAATCAAGAATAACCTGTCCAGTAAAACTGACTATAATCCTATAGGGGGAAAATAGACATTTAAGGAAATAGAGGATTTTCACATGCTTCTGATTAAAAGACCAGAAGATCAATTAAAAAATTTGGTATTCAGACAGAAGACTCAAGAGAAGCAAAAAAGGGTAAACATGAATGGGAAATCATAAAAGACTAAAAAAGATTAAACTGTTTACATTCTTATAAGGGAAGATGATACACATTAATCCCTCAGACTTTATCACACTAGGTCTGTTAGAAGGCATGGGTGTGAGTCTATTATGTTGGGATGATCTCAAAAGAAAGATGGAAGGATGAGAAAGAGGGATACAGTGGGAGAGAGGCAAAGGGAAAGAGGAATGGGGAAAATTATCTCACATGAAGCATGAAAGGAAGTTTATACAATGGAAGGGGTGATGGGGATGGGAAGCAGGCAACATTTGAACCTCACTGTCATCTGAACTGGTTCAAATAGGGAAGAATATACATACATACATAGTTGGGTATAGAAATTTATCTTACCCAACAAGGAAGTAGGAGAGAAAGCTGCTAAGAGAAAGGAAGGGGGAAGGAAAAAAGGAGGGTCGATTAAGGTAAGGGAGGTAGTGGTCAGAAGCTAAGCAGACTCTTGAGGAGGGACAGGAAAAAAAAACAAAAGAGAATAGGAAAATGTAAGAGAATAGGAAACAGGGAAATAAATACACAACTAAGCAGTAATAATTGTAAATGTGAATGGGAAGGACTCACCCAAATAATGTGGTTCCAGAAAAAACTAGGAAAACATACTAACTGATGCAAAGCTAAGTA